GGCCCCGCCCCCCCTCGCCCGCTCCCCAGTGAGGCGGCTCTACTGGTCCCATCTGTTTCCCTGGCCTCTGACTCGGGCAGGGAAACTTCCTCCTCATGTCCCCAGGCAGCACAGGACAGAACAGACTGGTGGAGCCCAAACTGAGCCTGGTTCCACCTCCCGGCCGCCCCTCCCCAGGCACCGAGCTGATGAGATGGCAGGGAGGCTGCCCGGCGGGTGGGCCTGGGGCAGGCCCGGGGCGGGGCGCAGGCGGACCTTTCCTAGCCATCGGACTCTCTGGGGGCACCCTGGGCTGAAGGGGGTCAGATACTTGGGTTTCAAACCTCAGCTTTGCCTCCTACTAAGAAACTTTAAGCACGTTCCTAACTCCCGAGGCTCAGGGTCCTCTTCTATTGAAAACAAAACAAGTACCCACCTGGTACAAAATAATATGGAGTGTAAACTGCCATTGAAAAATAAAATTTAAGCAAAACCAAACCACCCCACCTTCCCCAGGGAGGAGGAGAGGACGGAAGCAAACCTCGCTGGAGATGAGACGGTCTCTTGGCGTATTCGCTACTCACCCACCTGGACACTCTGGTCGGGCCCTCTCGCTCAGGAGGCCCCGGCCAGGCAGGAACGGGAACATCTTTACAAAGAACTGTCTCCCCAGCAGAGCGGATAGTGCATTCCTGAGACAAAAGTGTGATCGAATGAAGAACTGCTTGGAGAACAGGAAATCTGGTGAATGAAGAACACTAAAAAAGAAAACTTTAAAAGCCAGTAGTAGAAGGGATGGAAGAAAAAGATGAGGCTATCTTCCAGAAATCAGAATGAAATGGACCACAAGAGAAGGAAAATAAGAGAGAAAGGGTATGAAAATGAATGCATTAGGTTTCATATCCAACTAATTAAGGAGTTCCAGAAAAACACGGGGTGGGGGCGGGGAGAAAGAAAACGGGGGAGTAATTATCAAAGAAATAATGCACTTCCCAGAACTGAAGTCTTGGGGCCGCCTTGGAAAGGTCTCCCAGCGGACCCATCAAACAAGACAGGCCCCGCCCACATCAGGTGGGGCTTCCTGTCCTGAGGTGGGACCCCAGGAGAAGGACAGTCACCTGAGAGCTGGGGTGGGGACACTCACACAGAACTTAGGACCAGAAGGCCTGGGACCATGGGCAGGACACTCCCTCCGTCCCTCCCAGCTCTGCATCCTCAGAGTCTATGTTTGGAAGACCCCAAAGTCATCTTTCCTCCTTCCCTATTGCCCTCCAGCTGCCTTCATCCTCCTGCTTATTCCTTAGCTGGGCCCAGCCTGCCCTGCCCAGCCCTGCCTTTGGGGTGGGGTCTGTTCCTGAGCACTGAGCCAACCAGGGTTAGGAGGCTCCTTATCCCCACCCGTGGAGGCCCCACCAGTGTCTGTCTCCCACCCCATGGTCACTGAGAGCCCCATGTGACAGAGGCAGATGTTTCCTGCCCCAGGGGAGTGCTGTGTCAGTGCCCAGCAAGGCCCCAGCCAACATCTCCCAGCCCAGCGATGGGTCCCAACCTGCTCCTGCTGCTGCTCCTGGGACTAGCAGGTGAGGTTCAGAAGGTGCCGAATTCTGGGCCCCCTATACCCTGCTCCATGCCTAGAAATCATTGACATGATTGTGGCAACAATACCGTGTGTAGGGCCTGAAGGGGTCCCTGTGCCTTTAGGCCAGTGGGTGGGCTGGGAGGTTCCCCCAACACCTGTCTAACACCCCTACGTCCTTTCCTTCCCTAGGCCAGGGCTCCGCTGGCAGCCTCCCCGAGGAGCTGCAGGCGCGGGTGGGCAGCTCCATCCGCGTGCACTGTCACTACCGACCCCAGGATGGCAGGACTCGGAAGGTGTGGTGCCGGTTCTTGCCGGAGGGGTGCCAGCCCTTGGTGTCCTCAGCCGTGGACCGCAGAGCCCCAGGGCACAGCCGCACCTTCCTCACGGACATGGGGAGTGGCCTGCTGCAGGTGGAGATGATCTCCCTGAGGGAGGAGGATGCCGGGGAGTACGGCTGCGTGGTGGAGACGGCCACTGGGAACCAGACAGTGCACAGGGTGGCTCTGAAGGTCCTCCCGGCAGGTGAGTTGCCTATCCCAGGCAGGTGAGTTATCTAGCCCGCGTCGCCAACATCAGACCTGCCCTTCCCACTCCCACCTGCAGCCCCTGGGTCCTTGAGGGTGGTGGCCGCTGGGGGAGAGGACTTGGGAGGGGACATCCTTCTGACAGCTCTGCAGGGAGCGGAAACCAAACTGGGTGAGCATCTGAGATAAAACAGCCAGTGCAGCCCCTCCCCCTCCTGCACAGGCAGGTCCCCCAGGAAGGCGTGGCCTCTTCCGCGCCCAAGGCCTTGGCCTCCTGGGAGAATGAGGTCATTTTTTTTTGTAGAAATGTCTTAAAGTTTGAATTCAGGCATATCAACTTGAATTACTCTTTTATATCATCCAGGTTTTTGTAAATTCCTGTAATAATGGGTTTGATGGCCTGAAATATCTTACTTAATCCTCTCAGTCCTCACGGAGCACCCAGTCCCTGCTCACCCACAGGCGGGGTACGTGCAATGCCTCAACTACCCCAACCACCCAGTCCTAAAGTGTCCGCAGTATGTAAGCGAATATTCTCCACCCTAATTTCAGTAGGGAAAGCACTTTATTTTTATAGGTTTAACTCACAAAGCCTACAGCCATCTAACATCTAAGCATCAATTTAAAGAAAAATTTAAAGTGTTAGAAAATTTTCCCAGTAAGATGGGCTGTTGTGAAAAAGCTGTTCGGAGGGAAAAAACGGTCAGCCAGCAGCTGCTGGGGCAGAGGCTGCTGCTGACGTTCTCTCGCGGCTGCTGACAGTATTCGTCCCCAGGGCTG